ATATATATATATTCTGAAATATCAAAGTATCAATAGTTAGATTTTGGTATCGATACCAGTGCATACACTCCTGGTAGTGGTGGTATAGACATTTCTGTATCAATTTGCACATCACTAGTCCTCAAAGGGAAGATTTTACAGTTGAATAAAATCGGTGTCGGTATCACCTCACAGTGTCTACACTTTTCAGGATTGCTTGTATAGTACTCTGTGATGTATATTTACATTTCTATTAATCAAAATTAAGTTTTTATAAAAATAAAACCCCTGCCGTTTATTACCTGTGGCCTGCTCCAAATCTGAACACACACTCATACCAATATCCAAACACACACAGACTACTTCCAGAACAGAAAAATAATACGTACTCAGCAAAAACTAAAAAGTATATATATATATATATATATATATATATGCAATGCAAAATAGCAGCAAAGTCAAAATCTAATTTTGCTGAATGAAATCAAGCAAAACTAAGCATCCAGTAGTCGCAAACTCATCATGTATAAATAATCCAACATCTCAAAWGCCTGCTGTTTTTTCAGTAACTAATCCATGATTAAATATTCACATAATTACTTCAACAAAATGTTGGAAKACCTGTGTTTATATGGTGGTATGATACTAACAACTATTACAAATTAGACCAAATGTGGTTGAATGTTGGACTTTTTGAATACAGAGTGAAGGRAAAAGAAACTACAAGGAGCTTCTTCGTGGTATAAATGGGAATTCAATATTAACAAATACCTCAATACTCAAGAGCTACACTACAACAAAATTTGTTTTTGGAAAAAATGAATAAATGCAGTCCCAGACACCGTGACATCAGTCCCTGGRAACATCAGGTGTTACAGACTCCGTTCTTTATTCATTAATTTTACTATTGGTGCGGCACAACTGGGAATCCGGGACTAATCCTGAGCGCTCGTATGACTAATAGCAGCGGGAAAAAATACGAGCTGCAATAAAAAAAAATCCACTAATACATTTAATACTTTAAGCTCAAAGTCTTAACTTTTGTCAGTACTTGTTTCTGCTTGTACACCTCAGTAAGCTGCATTCATTCATTCATTCATTCATTCATTCGTTCGTTCATTCATTCACCTCTTTGTATTACCTCCTCTGATCTATGCTGCAGCAGGAGCCTGTGTTGGGCTGTATTTCTTTGTTGGACTTCTAAAACGAAATTGAAAATCAAGACGGGAGTTTGTGGGTGAAAGGATATGCTGCACCTTAGAGGATGATGTTGAATATTATGTTCCTGAGCTGCAGGTTTTGGTGACACATATATTTTTTTTCCTACAGCAGACTGAGTGACATTTTTTTTCTTTCCTCATGTGATCTCCACACTGTCACTACTTCTGTTTTTCCCGTCCTATATAGATATTTTTGTCTGGTTATATTTCTCATTCAGATACTGATGAATCTCATTTTCTTCTTGCAGGAGTAAGAGAGGAAGCAATGGGCTGGACTATGACTCTGAAAGATGACTTTGGGGTCATTGCCTGGATATGGCAAGCTGGGAACTTCCTCAGCCTCTTCCTGCTCTTGTCTTTCTTTTCCATCCCAGTCCACACAGACATCATACTTCTGAAGGATCATCATTTCTCATGGAAAGCAGGTACAATATTTAATTGATTATTACTGTTGTTATAAATTTGCTGCTAAATGTCCCCGGTAGTGATGTTCAATACCACCAATTTCCTTTCAGATTCCAGCAGAGTGAAACTCAAGCTGGTTTAATACTAATCTGTTACTGATGCTTTTTGCTAATTTCGTAGCTTTTGTGTCAAATGTAAACTTTAAATTTATGATTTAATGCAACAAAATTAAACACATTAAAAAATGAAGGCTAATATTACTTGTCCTGCCCCTGAGCCAGTGGCTTTGAGTAACTTTAACTCCCATAAAGCGTGATGATTTTCTCTGTCGGAATGTGAGAGAGTTCAGAATTCAAGACTTACCACAACTCACCAGTGAGTAAAATTCTCTTACTTTTACTTTTAATATTATTTCTGAATTATTTTATTTCACATTTAGTCAGTCGTACATGTAGTATTTTCAGTTTTTATAAGAGGACGTGTTAGAACGCTGTTTCTATGCTGGAAATACCACGTAGAGCACAGTTATTGTTAGATGTGCTCAGCAGAAGCAACGAGACAAGGGCCGTGACATTTTCTGTTACGTCAAAGTAAAATTTGAAACAAAATTAATTACAACTGGCCCTTTGAGGGTCACTATAATGCTCACGTGGCCCTCAGTAAAAATTAATTTGACATCCCAGGCATAATGTGTTTGCTAAATCTAAAATAAGTAGAGAATTTCAAATCCCTGCTTCATAAAAATTACCAGACATCAGATTCTTTTATTTATTCTTTTTTAAAATCAGAAGCAAGTTGATGTAGCATCATTTACATCACAGCCAAGCTAATACAACAATCAAATTGAATAATATGTAATAATAAGTAAATAATAAGTTAAATATTAAAACCATTAAAATAAACTATTTGATTAACAAGAACTACTATAAAAATAAAAAATGTAGTCTTAAATTACGTTACATATTTTTCATTACATGAATACGAAAACATGAAAATACTCAACATGCAACATCTGCATGAGTGACTGAGCATGTATGCATTGCCCAGGCAGAAGAAAAAGTAGGTCCCCCCAAGCGCTTATGATTTAGACAAGATTTCAATAGTTTAGCTACTTTCCACTGTTTCAATGTTCCTGCTAATTATATATATATATATATATATATATATATATATATATATACACTATATATCTATTTTCTGTGCAAGCTGTTCTGAGAGTAACCTTCCTCTTTTTGACACGCACTGGGGGCCCAAATCTCAGTCTGCTTGACATCATCAAGCTTGCAGGTCCGTACGCCTCGATGGTTAGCATAATAATACAGTATCTTTTTTTTTTTCTGACTGACTATTCATCCACATTCCCAAAGTGACAAGCAGGGCAGAGACTGTTGAAATAACAATGTATATGCTGCAGTGGTGCACTTTAAGAGAMACTAGTGCTTGCTAAATGATCATCTGCTGCTATATTGAGAGGATTTACAAGCCCCAGTTATTTGCAGTGGAAAATGTTTTAATGCACAGTATACACACAAGATAGAAATATATCCAACTATTTTTACTATATTTTCTTTTTATATTTGTCTCTAAATTACTTTTTTTGCAAACTGCACCCACAGCTGATGTCATGTTGCTCATTTGGGAAGAGAATTCTGAGGTAAGTTCGCAATTCATCGTCTCCTCGCCTCACAAATTCAATTGAGAACGCATTTGCAAAGCAGCTTGAGCAGGAGAACTTGGCCTTCTCRCACAAAAGCCCCACTCACTGTGCGATTAGCACTTTCATTTCTCTCTCTGTGGTTGGGTAATGACACTGCCCAAGTGATAAAGAGATTGATTAATTTCACTTGAAAGAGCTTGTGTTCAAAAGGGATGTAACCGGGACACCAAGAGTGAGGGTTTGACATCCTTGCAGAGCTAAGACTGCTCGTGACTTGCTTCTTTACAGGATAAAGCAAATCAATTTAAGTATCAGGAAAGTCTAGCCTCTTTATTACTGTTTTACCACGAGGAATATGTTGGAATAGAATAAATAATATCAATGTTTTAAATTTAAATCTAAAAATTAAACGCATGTTCTTAGATGTTCAGTATATAACATGGTGCCAATGTATTTGATATATTGGTTTAAACTGACACATGTTTTCAAGATTTTCATATTTGTCCCAAGTTCAGCCTTTATGCATCAGTTTTCAGTTTTGAGTCCATGTTTTTTGGTCAACACAGTTCTGGTAAAATTCAGATTTAATTTATCATCCATTTCTAGAAAAAAACTACAATTTGTAGAATTTTCTGGTACAAACAGTTGTATAATGCTTGTATGACAAAATAAATTGAACAAATCTTGAGCAGCTTTATGTTCTCCAGCTCGGCAGAGGTCAAATAAAGCTGATTATCAGCCCTATTCACTTGTACTTGTTTTAGCCCATTCTACTGTATTTATGTATACATACATGTGAAAAGAGTGGTTATGGTGCTGCGTCTGCAGTGATGCTGTACCGATTTGYCGTGGTTGAAGCGAGAGCTGAGCCAAAAGGCGAAGCTCTCAATTTACCGGTTGGTCTATGTCCCAACTCTCATCTATGGTCACGAGCTTTGGGTAGCGACCGAAAGGAAAAGATCACAGATACAAGCGGCCAAAATGAGTTTCCTTCGCAGGGTGTCTGGACTCTCCCTTAGAAATAGGGTGAGAAGCTCAGTCATCTGGGAGGGACTCAGAG